TACTGTTAAGCACTTTACATACATTATTTCTCTATCATCAATTTATATACGAGGAACTGAAGCTCAACAAGATTAAGAAACTTGCCCAAGATCACTACCTGTAAGGAGTAGAACCAGAATTCAAACCAAGATCCAACTCAGAAACCATATTCCTAACCCAAACACCAAATGCTTCTCTCTCGATAATGTTTTTACTATATCCCTGACCTACCTCTAAGCCAATGCTCTACCTTTTGACAGTGCCTGTCCTGAACCTTAGCTCCTTGCTACTCTATTACTACTAAAATCAGCTTGAACTACCCTTAGTTAGGGGAGATTCTCTTTGATTCAAGATAACATATCATCTTACACTTGAAAGGTGCTTAACAATGCTTCAAAAAACAGATGTGGGGTCTGTTGGTAGCGAGAAGCAGGCCCTTACACCACCCAGAGCAACCAAAGGAAGGAGCTGACTTCATCACTCATCTGGACAACAGCAGCAACGGGATTTCTATTACTCACTAGAAATGGCCTCATTAAAGAAAAATCCCATGTGCTTCCGCATTGTAAATGTGCCAACAGACAGCTCAGTAGGAAACATTTCTAAACAGCAAAATCGTTAGTCAGAACATGACAATCTGAACAGAGGAATACAAAAGCACCGATATGCAGCATGGAAGTGAGGAATTTACAGATCCTGTTGCAATGTAAAAAGTATTATAATTAATAATTGCTATTTTTCTAGGGGAAGAAGTTGTTTATTACACTTCTTAAGCAAAGAAGTCAATTAAAATAACTTTGATTTTTTTGTCATTATATAATCAGAAAAAGATTGATTTGGGGGCAGGAAGGGGCAGAGGGGGAGGGGGAGAGAGAGAGAATCTTAAGCATGCTCCACACCCAGCACAGAGCCCAACATGACTCTGAGATCGTGCCTTGAGCAGCAATCTAGTGTCAGAAACCTAACCAACTGAGCCACCCCGAGATGGATCTTTTTTTAAAAGAAAGTAAACTTACTAAAAACCCATTCTCCATCCCTATACGATTTGAAAAACAAAATCAAATTACAGAAAATGTTCAGAACTATTCTACCTTTTTTTTTTTGACACACCAGTCTGAATTGAAGTGACTATTCTCTTAACACTAGGTAAAAAGCTCAATACTAGGAATTAAAAGTAATGCTGAAAGGCAAAATTATCATAAGCCCCTCTAGAGTGCCCACAATAGTGTATGTGCTCTTCACGATCCCAAAAATTAAAACTTTCATTCATTTGTGTTAACACATGTGGTATGCTAAATCCTCTCTTTCTAAAGAATACTTAGATGTCGAGTCACAGATCATTTATACTTTTTAATTTCATAAATTCCTTTGGTTTTCCCCAATTTCCAAAAGAAAACCTATCCAACTTTTTTTTTTAATTTTTATTTATTTATGATAGTCACACACAGAGAGAGAGAGAGGCAGAGACATAGGCAGAGGGAGAAGCAGGCTCCATGCACTGGGAGCCCGACGTGGGATTCGATCCCGGGTCTCCAGGATCGCGCCCTGGGCCAAAGGCAGGCGCCAAACCGCTGCGCCACCCAGGGATCCCAGAAAACCTATCCATATCAAAGCCTATGATTCAGGGTAGATTTCCAGAACCCAGAACCAAAGGAGAACATAGACAAAGATCAGGGAGCAGCCGACACCACAATGGGGAAGTGGGGGGGGGAAGGGTAGCTCAAAACTGACTATGAACACAGATGAGAATCCGTGAAACATTTGTTCAGGTAGACTTTTTAATTTCAACCATTATTATACTTTCCTCTCTTTCTTAAAAAAAAAATAGATGTCAAGTCACAGATCACTTATGCTTTATTAATTTCACATATTCCTTTGGTTTTCTCCATGAGTTCATCCTTCTCCCTGAGCACTCACACAGTAGCAAGACCCAAATGTAGACAGCAGACAAGAAAAAAAAAAAGGCTGGGAAGTCAGAGGTCAGATCCAGATCCTGCTCTGTCTCCAACCAAGGATGTCCTAAGATGACTGCTAAACCTCCCCATCTCTTAATTTCCTCATCTGAGAAAGGGGAAGACTTGCTTGTTTCCTTCACAAAACTATCATGAAAATCAAACAAGGTCAGTAATATGAAGCACTCTCAAAACTTCAAAATGCTATAAAAACATTAGACATGGTTATTAAATTAAATTAATATATTCCTAGGCAAAAAGGTGCTAAATATATATGAATCCTAGATTCATTGTTTGCATGAATTAAGGCAAATGAAGGAGCATATAGTTATATTGTTTTTATGCTAATTGAAAATTTAATTAAATCCCAAGGAATGAACAGAAATAAAATAACCTGTGTAAATCTCGTTAAAATTTATAGTCACAATACCAGGAAAGATTTGGTCTCTACATCAACACACTATTCACATTTTTTTAATGTAAAAATTCAAAACCGCATGAGTTATCCAAGTTCTGTCACTTACAAACCAGGATCTGTAAATAGGGATGATAATGATACCTACATGGTGGGCCTGACATGAAGACTGAGTCAGTATGTGCAAAGCACTGGAACCCGCTATGTGAACGTTTGCACCATGGTAGCAGCGAAAATCAGCCAGATCCTGATTCAAACAATTGCTCCAATCTCTACCAGATGTGTGGTTTGAATAGTATTAACATCTCAGAGGGCCACTGCGAGGATTAATGATATAGAAAGATACATGCATACATACATAGACACATAGATACATAGACAGATATACATAGACATAGAGATACAGATAGAGTGAGACATTAAAAACATACCAATTATCACAAAAGGTTTCAGTGAGTGGTGGGACTGATGGTTTGTTTAGAGTAATAATGTTTAATCATAGTAATACTGGTAAGTTACACAACAGCATCCTAAATTCTTTAACTTTCAGTGGTTTAGTCAGGTCAGATAGAGTTTTGGGAAAGATACTGCACCAATCGGGGCAGTAACAAAAAAATGTACGTGATTTTAAAGTGCTGAGTATAGGATCAAGTTCTCAATGACATCCCCAAGTTTAACTCTGTTTCAGACTTATCACCGCCAAAGTATTTTAAGTAGACAAAAACACATTTACCCTTGAGAAGCATACAGTTTACTTCTTCACATTCAACTCTATTATCTAAACTCCTACAAAGCTTCCGTTGTATAAGTGTGCAGTGGTATTACACCAGAACAAGGCCATGTGTTTCCAAAAGAATTAGATAACTTCCCAGTCTTTATCAACACCATTTCTTGTAAATCTGAATAAAAAATTAAGAGCTTATTGAAAAGCTCTTAAAAAGTCTAGAATTTTTTTTCATTTTTCATTTCCTTAATTCATTTTCATTTTTCATTTCCCCAAAAGAGAGTGGGGAAAAAAAGACTTTTTAAAAATAGGCAAAGGAGTCAAAGAATAAAGGAAACATCTTTTTATGCTGTTAAGATTTTTTTTAGGGCTAATAACTTAGAGGACTATCCACCTTACCTGGAATTCTAGTTGATTCCTCTTCATCTTCACAGCCTCACTTCATGGCCATAGAGATATGTGCTACCAATTTGCCCACCAGGAGGCTTGGTTTTCAGCTGTTTTTATTTGTTAACCATGTTCTCCCCTATCACCTTCTTGGACCTCAAAACAGTTAAACCACAGCTTGCTGGAGGTAAAGGGAATCTTAGAAACCACGGTCTTATACCTACACTTCCTTTTGTACAGGCTTCCAAACTGACAGTCTGATGAATGAGAAGACTGGTGACTTCCAGCAGATGACAAAGTGATTTTGGGTCAAGAAGCCAAGGCTTCTCTCTTCCTGGGCAGGGTGGCTTACCCATACTTGCATCAAATTTCAGCATCAAATTTCTTATATGTCTGTTTCAAGTTTGTGCAATTTATCCCCATTGTCAAGCAAACCAATCCATTCCCTTGATTTTCACTTTACAACCAAAATAGTACATCTTAGAAATCAAATGAAATACCACTCTCAAACAGCCTTTTGATGATATACTAGCACCTGAATTACAAGAGTAAGGGCAAACTTCTCAGTATCATTTAGTTTTTTTCCCTAATTCTTATGTGCTTATTTTCATAATGCAATTATGTCAGCAGGGGCCAAAATCAGGTCACCTTAATTACCTCTTTTACAACTTCTTACATGCAAAAAGCTTGTTTATACCCAATCACTTCAAAATAAATGACCACAACTCTCAGAAAAGTAATTTCTTTCACCTATTTCACACAAGTGTTTGGTGTACATACAAGTAATAACAGCAAATATTAGAACAATTTACATGTGGCAAGTATCACTGAAGTCCAACAACCTAACGTGTATCTACTGAAATCCAATCAATAGGCATTTCTCAACAACCTCAAACATCTCGGATTCATGTCTTCTCCAACACCTACCCAAGTGTCAAAGTAGAGAGAAGGGCATTAGAACATTCTCAACTTCCAAAAATTAGGTACCTTACAGATATATAAAAGACTCAAAGGGAAGAAATACTGGTCCTACTATCTATAGAATGGAAAACAGTAATCCTAATCTCTGAGGTAGCCTACAGGAAAAGTTACTTCTGGAAAAAAAAAAAAAAGACCCTCCTTATACTGCTTTATATAAAAAATAATTCTAGATCTGGGGCAATGCAGTGTGGCTCAGTCGGTTAAGCATTCAATTCTTGATTTCAGCTCAAGTCATGATCTCATGGGCGGTGAGATCAAGCCCTACATTGGAGAGCAGGGAGTTTGCTTGAAGATTCTCTCCCTCTGCCCCTTCCCTCACTCACTCATGCTTGCGTGCCCTCTCTTTCAAACAAATAAATCTTAAAAATGATAATAATAGTAATTCTAATCCCATCTGGATGACAATGTTGTTACTTCCTTTTTCACTAAGTCACCTACATGTGAAATTCAACTACATAATGCAGATACCCAGACCACTTAAATCACATGTTCTACTTCAAATAGTATTTGATAAAATGTTCCTCACTAAAAGAAAATACATAGCAAATGAAATGTAATTACCTTTCCAAAGTCACGAACATCAAATAGGTCAAATGCTTCGAAGAGTTCGCTCTTTCTCATTCCAAAGGTCTCGCAACAGGCTGTAAGGAATGTCCTTATGTTCTTCAAACAGAGAAACTGAAAAATAAAAAATATCTATTAGTCTATAGTGAATCATTCTGAATGCTCTATATCCTCTGTCCACCCAGAATGCTATAAAAAATGACAACTTTTGAGGTGCTTTTCAATTCACCATTCAGCAGTATTTACTGAGTACCCACTTAGGCACAGGTAACACATCTATGAAGAAGGTACGCAAAATTTTTGCTCTCGTGAAACTTATATTCTAAGAAGGGAAGACAAATAAGAAAAAAACTGAGCAATAAAAAAAAACAGTATTTTATTTTCATGTGGAGGTAAATGCAATGGAAAAAAACAAAACCAGGAGAAGGGATCAGAAGCACTGGTGGGAGGGCACTTAAATGGATGGTTAGAAAAAGTGTCAGTGGGAAGAGAGCAGATAAACAGAGATTTGAAGGTAGTGTTGGACCAAGCCATGCAGAAGTACAGGACACAGCATTACAACTTAGAGTAGCATCCCATGGCACAGCCCTGAGGCAGAAGTATCTGAGGTCTGTGTAATGAAGGGGCAAATGAGGCTGCAGTAAAGTGAGTGAGTGAGTGAGTGACAGGGAGAAAGGTAGGAGATGAGCTAGAAAGGTAATGGGGTCAGGACACCTGGGTGGCTCAGCGGTTGAGCATCTGCCTTTGGCCCAGGGTGTGATCCTGGAGTCTCGGGATCAAGTCCCACATCAGGCTCCCTGCATGGAGCCTGCTTCTCCCTCTGCCTGTGTCTCTGCCTCTCTCTGTGTGTCATGAAAGGAGAGGAGGGGAGGGGAGGGGAGGGGAGGGGAGGAGAGGGGAGGAGAGGAGAGGAGAGGAGGAGAGGAGAGATAGGTAGGTAGGTAGGTAGGTAGGTAGGTAGGTAATGGGGTCAGATGACAAAGGACTTTGTTGGCCTTACTTTTATTCTGACCAAGACAAAGTCATTGGAGGCCTTGGGGCAGGGGAGGGATATGATCTGATATGTTATAGGGATCTTTTATGATTGAAAGGGGCTGGAGCAAAGATGGAGACAGAAAAAGCAAATAGGAGGATAAAAGGCAATCGTGAGAAGATCAGGTGTTACATCTGGACAATGTTAAATTTGAGATACTCATTAGTCATCCAAACGGATGTGGGGCAGCAGGCAACTAGATACATGAGTCTGGAGTCCAGGGTACAGGGGTGTACTCCAGACATAAATTTGGGAGTCTTTAGAGTATACAGAATATTTTTATCCATGATATAGCCTGAGAGAACTTTGGGAGGAAACAAAGAAGAGGAAATAGCCTGGGACTGAGTAATCTTAGGAGATCAGGAAGAGAGCCTACCACGAGGCTGAGCACAAGTGACTGGTGAGGAAGGGGAACAACAAGGAGAACAGGCTTTCCCTGAAGTCAAGAAAAGAAAGTGTTTCTAGAAAGAATGAACAATAAACTCTGTTAGCTGCTACTGATAGGTAAGAGCTGACCAAGCACAGTCTGTGGAAGCCGGCAGTGTGAAGGTCATGGGTACACCCTGATAAAAGCAGGTGGAATGAGGTGCTTGGAGCAGGTTCAACAGACCAGTGGAAGAGAGGAAGTGAAGAGAGAACAGAGGATACCAACTCTCAAGGAGTTTGCTGCAAAAGGAACAGAGGATTGAGGAGGTAGTCGGAGAGAAAGAGAAGTCAAGGAAGGGCTTTTTTAAAACAATGGAAGCTGCTACAACATGTTTTTATTTTGATGGGAATCACTCACTAGAGAGGAGATAGTTGGTCATCCAAGAGAGAAGGCGAGTCAACCAAATGAGGTCCTTGAGTAAGCAAAGAGGTGGGGGTGGAGGCTCTCAGTTCAAGTGGAAAAGTCTAACTTAGACAGGAGCATGCTCAGTTCATCAACAAAAACAGGAGGAACAAGAGGAAAGGCAGATCTATTGACAATTCTTAAAAACAAAATTTACTTTCAGTATCCAAAAGACTCAGATCCACCTAAGCAAGATACACGCATACCCTGAAAGTGAATGACTTCTTTTTGAAAATAGGAGCTGCGATGGCACACATAAGACTATTATCCTCCAATGAAGGAAAAGCCCATCAGCTAATTGGAGCATTCTTTTTTTAAGCACTGTCAATGTTTTATTTTGTTGTTGTTGTTTTTTCATATTGTCATTGTTGTTTAATTTATAGAGAGCGCATTTTACTTCCTCGGTATTTGAAACATTCATTTTTTTCACAGGCTTAACTCAGATGCAGTTTGACTCTTTACAGGAATCCTTCTCAGAGGCTTAAATATTTCAGGAGGGGTTAAAACCACACGGGAAGCATCATAAACCCTTTGAAGCACAAAGGCAAAAGCCAATCAGCACATGGAGTTACTACTTGCACTTTAAAAAATTCATAAGAGACCTTTACAACACAGAATCACTCTACATGTAGCTCTTTCACATAGGATTGCTTATTTACAGATTAAAAGCCTTGCATTCTGCCAAGATAGACAATAATTACTGTCTTGGGAATTATGCAACTGCTCTCTTGCAATATTTTTTACATAATTAAGTGCCCAACTCATAGTTCACCAAGGAGAAGCATAATTGCACATGCCACCCTCTGAAGATTTCTCACCAAACTCAGATTTCACCCTGTGTAGGAAAAACTACAGTACTTTCCACTCAAGTGCTTTAGTAACTCAGAAAAACAAGTACTATTTCTGAAAGTTAAAAAAAAAAAAGAAAGAAATGTAGTCATTACTGCATACATACAGAGATTTAAAAGCAGGTCTTCCCCTTACTTCTGGAACCAACTTTAATCTTATTTGCCCCTTAACTAGCTCAATTCTACTAAATTCCACATATATTGATTGGATTTGGAAAAGGTCACTGGTAAGCTGTCACTTTTCCAGGCAATCCACAAATTTGGTCTTACTTTTAGGTATTTCTTCAGTCACAGTTTGAATGCTTACAATATTCCAGACACTGGAAATGCTAAAAATGAGTAATACAAGTTTCTGCCTCCAAGCTTGTCTATTTAGTCTTATCTGGAGATTTTCACAGTCATCCAAAGTTTGGCTAACTAACAACACTAGGATCACACTTCACTTGATGTTCATGGGGGCTCAGCTCTGTGTACACACGGGAACAAAGCTGAGGGAAGGAGGAAGCGGGCCCGAATACCACTGCAGAAGCCCTGGACAGAGTGACCACTGATAGCCTACCCACCACTCCCAAGACTTAAGGCTTTGTTTTCATCATGCTGAACTTGTTCTTTTTCCAGGTTATTTTGTAAAATTTCAAACCAAAAGAAAAATTGAAGAATACAACGAACATTCCATCTACTCAACAACTGTAACATACTGCCATACACACACACACACACACACACACACACACACACACACACACACGCATTTTTTTTTTAAAAGACTTATTTATTTTAGAGAGCAAGCAGCAAGAGCGGGGGAGGGGAAGAGAAGACAGAGAGAAGGTCTTAAGCAGCCCCTGCCCTGAGCACAGAACCCGACTCAGGGCTCAATCTCAAGACCCATGAGATCATGGCCTGAGCCAAAATCAAGAGTTGGACACTTAACCAACTGGGCCACCCAGGGGCCCTATATATGTGCTTTTAGGTGCCAACTATTTATGAAATGTATTTTGCCAAAGTATTTGGAAGTTACACACGACACTCCATTCCTAAGTAACTCAAAAAGCATTTCCTAGGAATAAAGATACTTTCCTACATACAATACCATTATCACACTGAAGAAAATGAACAATTCTAAGTTATCTAATATCTATCCCATATTCCTCAATTGCCCTGTCTCTTATGTCCCTGACAGTGTAGGATCCAATGAAATTTTACCCATTGCATTTGGTTGCTTTATTTTTGCAGTATCTTTTAGCTGAGAAATCCTGCTGCCTTTTATTTTTAAGACATTGACTTTCTGAAGAGTCCAGACAAGTTGTCTCATAGAAGGTCACACATTTTGCATTTGTCTATTTCTTCATGATATCATTAAACCTGTTCCTCCATCACTTATATTTCCAATGAACCAGAGGCTAAGTCTGAATACAAATTATATGAGATAACTTTAGGAGTTTTTAGAATTTAGGATTCAAATTTTAAGAAGCAGAATTTTAAATAACTTCAGGATTTTTTAAAATATTAAATGTATCTACATAAGACCAAATTTAAAGACATAAAAATCTAAATGCCATTTTCTCATTTAACAAATATTACTGAGGTGCAGATTATACATTAGGCATCATAAAATGTACCTCCAATTGGGTACTACTGCTTTTATTAATTTATTAAACACATGTTAATGGAATGAAACTGAAGGGAACTAGGTAGCTTTAAAAAAACAAACCAGAAGCAGCAAGTATGACCCAGGCTGCCTTCAGAAGACTCATCCTGGTCAGAGCATCCAGACCGACGAAGGCACAACGGCCCACTACGTGGTAACTGCCATAAGGAAAGCAGCTGAGGGTTCTCTGAGAGTCCTGCATCAGAGGTATCAGAGACAGTGTTAGAGAGGGAGGAGTGGGATGAGGGACAGAGGAGATGAGTGAGAGTCAGCCACAAAACCAGAAGAGCGGCTGACATTCAGGGATAAGAAAGGAGTCGCCAGACCTGGGGTTCCAGGGCCACCAGGTAACCGGCGCAGCGTGTGTAGGAGCACAAGACATGGCCCTGGAAGGCGGCAGGGGGAGTGAGCTTGGACAAGGGAGTCGGGGCCTACAGGGCTTGCCAAAGGGATGCGGGCTTTACTCTGGAAGACACAGCGAGATTCGAGGGTTTTAAACAAGAGAATAGAACACTCAGCTTGGGACGCCCAGGTGGCTCAGAGGTTGGGCGCCTGCCTCCAGCTCAGGGAGTGATCCCAGGATCCGGGATCGAGTCTCACATTGGGCTCCCTGCAGGGAGCTCGCTTCTCCCATGCCTGTGTCTCTGCCTCTCTCAGTCTGTGTCTCTCACGAATAAATAAATAAATCTTAAAAAAAAAAAAGAAAACTCAGCTTGCATTTCATCAGTATTATAATTGAGTGTTTGCTATGTACCC